CGCTGAACAAAACTATACCAACACTACATGGTCTCTTTTTCTGACTTACAGAAAATGTAAAAAATCTAATTCCTATGATTGTGGTTAGAAAAAGGGCCTAAATTTAGCCAATCGCATACAAAAAATTATTTGAGCTGTTCGACTGGTGACACATTCTGAAGCACTGAGCTCATTCACACTCTATCTAAGCGTGACCGGCACATGGACGGTGCTTTGATGAGCGACTATAAACAGCTACCTCAAAACGCAGCTTTATTTAAACGACGCGATGCCACAGATGACAAGAGAAAGACGAGAAGCGGCTGTTGGCGTGTCAGCTAAGGTTGCAGCCAGACACTTAAATCTCGGCGTTTCCACCGTTTGTCATCAGACGGCGTGTCACGACGGACAATCTGCCACGTTGTGCTCTGGATGAACGTGTCTGACAACATGATCTTGGCCCCCAGAAATGTCCATCAGCCTCACCGAGACCTTCAGGAAGCGGTGGGACGACGTTCCACGAGCAGCATCAACAACATCAAAGTAGTTCAGAAAATTTATTAGCTTTGTTTAAGTGATGAAAGCACAGGTTTGATACAGCTTGACATGCGTTTACTGGGAAGGTTCTGACTATAGGGGCCACAATACATGTCAGAATAAGTTTTTAGATATGCAATAATGACTTTTCACTGGATTTGACGACAATTATTAACCTCTTAAGACCTGGTGTCCACACGCGTGGACATCACATTTTAGGTTATATTACCACAGTAGTTAATTTTTTTTAAAACTTATTTTTATTATTTTATTATTATGACTTTAGTATTGTTATGTATTTTTTATTTTTATTGTTTTATATATTATAATATATTGTTTATTTATTTAATATATATAATAAATATTTTTATATTATTAATTATTATTATTTATTTGAAAATATTTTTATATTTTTAATGTATTTTTATTTTCTTTATATTTTTTATATATTACAATTTCAGTATTATATACTATAATATAAATGTTTACATTGTTATTTATTATTTATTTCAAAAATATATATAATACATATTTTTATATTATTAATTATTACGATTTATTTTAAAAATATATATATTTTTGATTTTCTTTATATTTTTATGTATTATTATTTATTGTATTATATGTTATATGTTTATGCTGTTATTTATTATTTATCAAAAAATATCTATAATATAATATATATTTTGATATTATTAATTATTATTATTTATTTAACATTTTTTATATATATTTTTATTTAGTTTTTATTTTCTTTATATTTTTTAATTCTCTATTCTCTTTGCTATTTGATCAGCTCAAATAGTAGACAAATAAAAAACACATATCGAACAAGAGCTCGGCTCTTAAAAGGTTAAAATAAGGAACATCACCGGCCTTCTTCTTGAGCATCAGCTGTCTTTGGCACAGCAGCAGCAGAGTTCGGATGATTTAAGGTTAAACTGCTGCGTTATTGTCGTGCTGTTAGTCAGTCTGAGCCAGAAAAGCTAAAACTGAAGCAGGTTTTAGAGCTTTGCCTGGAAACACTGCAGACTGAAGTCAGTCATATGATCAGAGCAGCACTGTGACCAGGCCTGAGCTCAACATAATGCCTAAACCTTTTGTTTGAAGGTAATCCCGTTAAACGTCAGATAATCACACAGACTATTTACATTTTTAATTCGTCCACCGTCGACGCTGAACAGAGCAAAAAGCTGAACTGTTCATAAAGTGCAGCCGGAACAAATTGCCGTTGATTCCAAGCCCTGAGGATAAACAGTAAGCTTAAAGATGAAAGGAGAAAACAAGTCCAACACCATCAGCAGCAGAGTGTGTTTCACATTCAGTCCCTCACA